ATGAATCTTTTTTTGTTTTTCTCTGTTTTGTTTTTGCTAAAGTTTGGACCATTTCCTAACATACGTGTGTCATCCTTGCAGAGGCGCCATGCAATTCACATAAAGTAGGAAATGGTCCAAATTTAACGGCGCCTCCGCATCGTTCCAATTTTAACGGATGTCCTGAAGGACGCAACCCATGAATCCAAGACTTGTACTCTGCAGAACTGAAATTATGGAGGCACGCTTCTTTGTTTAAAACACCAGTCGGTTTCCGCACTACACGGGCCTCTCACAGTTGCTTACTCTCGACTGAATTTAAATCGCCAGTACGTTTCCCCGCCAGTTTTCTCCGCTGTGGCCGTGCATCCGCTGCGACTTTCCAGGCTCGCCTTGACAAATTGAAACGGTCATGCCTGCCAGCCAAAAAAAAGAAAAATCGAGCCCGCGCCGGTTCGGTAAAACTTGACCCAGAAGCGCTGCGACTTTCCAGGATCGCCTTGACAAATTGAAACGGTCATGCCTGCCAGCCAAAGAAAAGAAAAATCGAGCCCGTGCCGATTCGGCAAAACTTGGCTCAGAAGCGTGCAGCCAAGGCCGACCTCAAGAAGAAGAGGCTCAGTAAGAACTGTTGGTTTAACTGGGGCCAGGCAGTTTCCTGGGTCGCCCTGACAAATCGAAACGGCCATGCCTGGCGGCCAAAAAACGAAAAAATGTGTGCCCGCACTGGTTCGGCAAAACTTGACTCGGAATTGTGCAGCCGAAGTCGACCTCGAGAAGAAGAGGCTCAGTAAGAACTGCTGGTTTAACTGGGGCCAGGCAGTTCAGCACATTAACCAGCACAGCTTACGCTCGCACTTGTGGTTTAAGAACCCGGCCGTTCCCATGAACTCCACCACGATAGAATTTTGCGTCTTTCGAAAATATTGCTGCGCCAGCTTCATTATCTTTGGGGCACTACCAGATGGGATGGCCTCCTTTGGCCACTGTTACATCCGATGCCCGAAAAAAAAAACATGGGGAAAAGAGACAGGTCTCCGGTCTCTCTGGTTCAAAGGGACTGAGTTTTGGGTTTCAGTCTCTCTAGTTTACGGGACGTAGTTTTAGGACCCGATTGAACTGCGCTCGACACATCAGATTCCTCCAACACAGCTTTCACAGCTGCAAATACAGCACTACTTTCTCGGCCTTAGATCTCCTCCGCGCACACACACAAGGTTTCAGACCGGCGCCCTCAGCATCAAGAGCCGAGTTTCTTAACCACCACAGCCATGGCAAGGTGTTCAAATGTGGAACAACACCGGTCGTGACATCCCCCCACCGCTGTCCTACCCGCAGTGCCCACACACACACGCAAATACAGTCTCCACTGTCACACAACTCCAAAACCAGCCTATACCCCCGACCAGCCCATGTGGCTGAATCGTACACCCATGCACTGTTGATAAGCAGACCTGCCTAAGTTTGAATCCTGATGAAATCAAATGAACAAAACAACTCTGGGTTACCTAGGGCCTGTGATGAGACCTCAAGGCCACCCACCACCCTTACAGAAAACACAAGCGGATGCCCACCGCAGACATGGTGGAGGCCATGGGAAAAAAAAAAAAAAAAAAAAAAAAAAAAAAAAAAACCATTGCCAACATCAGACGCAGCATGCAGGTCGAGTGGTATCATAGTGGCGTAGTCGATACTGTGCGGGGGTTTGGGCCGTACACACGGGGCGGGTCATACCTCGTCGGGTACTACTAAATCGGATGCAAGTTACATGTTACTATGCGGGGCAGGAGAGGGGTTGGGTCGTACACACGGGGCGGGTCATACCTCGTCAGGTACTATATGGGAGGCAAGTTACATGGTACTATGTGGGGCAGGTCAATAATGTCGAGTGGGTGGAGCTATGTGGACAGGACAATATTCTGTGGCCTGGGTGATATTACGGGGGGTGGGTGGCACCATGTGCGGCAGATCATACTATATGGACTGAGTGGTACCATCGGGCCCAGATAATACACTGGGTTGGGCAGCACCACATGGGGCGGGTAGTAGTATGTGGACTGGATGGCACTATGTGGGTTGGCCAGGTGGGTGATGCTGCACGGGGACTTGGATGCATCTCACTGCAATCACGTCCAAAAAAGTCACGTTGCACCCTGATTTGAGCTTCGGGCGTGGTCTTTAACGATTTGAGCTCCAGGAGTGGTTTCTAAGGTTCATGGTAGAAACCACAACCAGAGGCTGAATCAGCATGCAATAGGACTTTTCCAACTGAGCTCTGGACGTGATTGCAGTCAGATGCATCAGCCTCCTATGTACTTCTGGAAAGTGGCCAACAAAAAACAAAAACTGCCATGCCAGATGGCATCAGGGACATCAGGGACATTCGAGGGGAAAAAAAAACAGAAAAAAAAACGTAAAACGCCGACGAAGGCGAATTGTCAAAAAGACTAACCATGGAACACCCGGAAATGAAGAACAGAAACTGCCACACCAGCTGGCAATGCCCGAAAAAAAAAAAAAAAAAAAAAAAACAGGGCTCGTTGTAAGCTGCCTGTTCCCCCGAACAGCCAAAAAGGAAAACCCATGCGTGGTTCTGCGCGTGATTCTTGCAGCGCCCCGCAAACAAATAATATTTGCGGCACCCTGCACGGTTTGAACAGGAAAGCAGTTCCGCCCAGGAGAGCGCCCCATGCATCGCGTACTGCCTCTCCGCCCTAACACCCAAAAGGAGAAAACCACAGGCAGTTCTGCCCGGGAAAAAAACTGCTTGCCACTCCCTGCAAACGAGCAATGTGCCCGGCGCCCTGTATGGTTTGAACAGGAAAGCAGTGCCTCCTCCTCCCACACAGTTCCAGGTATCGGCTGGTCCCATCACAAGAGAACCACTGTTTGCTTTAGTAGGACATAAGAATCCTAGCATTATTATTATATTATTATATTAAAGATATAGTTAACAACAAAAGAAATCACACCCTTCGATCAAACGAAATGTTTCGTGCTTTTGGTTAAAACTTAAAAAGAAAGGCTCAATCTATACCCTTGCTAACAGGACATGGCCCCTGGCCTCAGCTCCACTTCCACGGATTAAGAGAGATTGACTTGTTGACCTTCCTCGTCTGGGTCCAACCTCTAAGTAAGTGGATCCTTGTTGCCAGACACCCAAACCCTAGTGGGTTAAACCAACAGTACCCCAGGCGGTCTTAGGCCCCCTCTGGGGAGGCTCTGAGGCAAATGCATATGAACCTGCACGGCGCACCGATTCAGCCACCGCGTAAACGGCCTAAAAACGTGGAAGTACTGGTGGGTTAAACTACCAGTTCATGGGCCCGGGCAACTTGAGAGCAAGGAGAGGCTCTCTCCGAGAAATTCGGAGGCTTCTCGCAACGAGACCAAAATGGCTGGCGGCGCCAGGGAAAATGAAAACAAAACCGCCACTCTGGCGTTTCAGAAAAGCTTGTTGCGCAGGTGTAATCCACCTCGTAGGCTCGTACAAACAAGGCTCGGATGTGCTGGTTTGGCCCCAGCAAGATTGAGAATCGCGATTGAGCCTCTTCGAAAAATCAGAGGCTTGAGGCAACCCGACCAGAATGGCTGCAGGCGCCAGCCAAAACTGAAACAAAAACTTCATGCTGGCATTCAGCAAAGCTTGGCGCAACATGGGAATCGGCCTCATACAAACGAGGCACGGATGTACTGGTCCTTCAGACCACCAGTGCACCCGGGCCTGGCGTCGCCACACTGCACGCCAAGCTTTGCTGAACCGCCAGCAGTGCCCTTCTTTTCTTTTTTGGTTGGTGCCACCAGCCATAATTATGGCCCGGTGGCCCCGACCCTCCAAAATTTTTGGAATTAGCCATGAAGAAATATTGCAAGGCTGGGGCCATGTACTGGCGGCTTGAACCGCCAGTACAGTAGACGGCCCCGGCCTTGTAAATAATATTTTTCATCGCCTACGGAAATCTCCGAGTTCCGGGACTACCCCGGACCACTATGGCTGAGGGCGCCAGACTAAAACGAAAATAAGCGTGCCGCTGGCGGTTCGCCCCCAATCTGTCCCCTATAAGCCCCAAGCCTGGGGTCTGTCAGTGCCCTCAAGAGTCGAGCACAGCGTGAACAAAGATTTGTTCTCTGGTCCCGAATCCGATGGACCTCGTGCTCTGCTTTTCTCTGTACCCGCTTTCCAGCAGGTGTCGCTCCCCACCAATAGATGGAGCAGCCCAACAGGCAAAGCCTCAATTTCGGCGGTCCTCTTACCAGCACCGGGATAGAGCCCTTTGCAGAAGGGCTTTTCGTTATATAAAAAAAAAAAAAGGAAAAAAAAATAAATTAGTGCTGGCAACTCTTGCACTGGAAAATTTTAGGATTGGTGTAACATGTCGCCGGTTGAATGTGTGAGCATTTCCCACAATGAATCTCACTGCACATGCGGCCAGGTTCAGTTTTAGATAGTCCTCGTGCAGGTATGGTCTGAGCCAGCGTTCCCTCTCACCAACCCTTTGCTCTGCGATCTTTTTTTTTTTTTTTTTAAACCACTAGTACCAGACAGGTGGTTTTCACCTGAGGAAATAACAGCCTCCACATATGCGGAAGAAAATTATAACCCCTCACTGTTAGTGGTGGTAAGCAAACATTCATCCACCGGAATTCATCTGCACAAGAAAGAACAAAACAAAACAATAGTCCGGATTCGTCCACTCGAGGAGCAAAAAAAAAAACAGAAAATGTTGTCTCAACCCACCCAGAGAACCACACGTAGTTGTGGTGACGGAAGGCAACCAGCAGAGGAGAGAGGCCAGGTGAGTACCGCCAACAATCAAACAGCAACCAGCAGAGGAGAGATGTCAGGTGAGTACAGCTGACACACCGCCGCATCGGAAGACAACCTGCATAGGGCAGGCAGGGAAGCCCCTCAAGGCACACAGTGCCACCTCCTCTACCCTCTTTGCCTGTGCCCGCAATGCACCATCATTACGACTGCATCCAACAGGAAAGATAGCTCATCCATGGCAACGCACTCTCACCTCGACTGTGTACCGAACACGAAAGATAGCTACCATCTTCGCTCTAATACAACGCCCGGTCATTATAGCTGTATTGGTGCAACATTCAGTCCACATACAGCGATAGCTACCGGGCGTTCTATTCGGGTGAAGACGGTAGTATACGCTCACGATCACCCTCATGACAACTGCATCGAGCAGGAAAGACGGCTATTATACAGTTGTGATCAGAGTGCGCTGCGGTTGAGGGAAGACCATAGTTAGGGTCTCGCTCAACACTCCTAGACAACTGCATATTCTCTAGGATGATCCTCGAGGATTTTTGTGATTTTTTTTTATTATTATTTTTTTGACAAAATGCTCCAATCTATTTCTGTGATTAGTTTGCCGTGAATCCATTTGTGGTTACCCTCGACTCTAGAAATCTGCCTTTCTGGGCCGGATCCTAAAGCCGCCAGTCCGACAAAGAGAACAAAAACAGAAAAGCAAATGTTGCGTTCTCGGCAATCGGTCTCCAGCACGTGAGCAGTCTGACACCCTGCAATCCGGGTGGACCGTTTTCAGTCAGAGAAACTGAAAGTATCTCACAGTGGAGGCTCACCAATGGACTTCGATAGCACTACTCCTTGCGAGGGGTATTTGCCGGGCGACATGGACCACATGCCTGACATATGATTGCATGGAAAAGTGGTTGTGTCTCCGTTGAGAACACTGCAGCTTCGACCTGCGAGCAGGAGTGGTCGAGGGCAGTTCAACCCCTGGCCTTTCACGGGCAAACCTTTCCAACAGGGGAAAAAAAAAAAAAAAAAAAAAAAAAAAAAAAAAAAAAAACTTTCCGACAGAATATAATAAATATATACACTTCAATGGCTGGCAGCGCTAGCCAGGAAAGAAAGAAAAACAGACGGGCTTATTCAGTTGGTACACCCACAAACTGTTGAAATACAGACCCCAGTTTGTATCCAAATGTAAATCAGATGAACAGAATGAAATATAATTTTGAATTACCTGGGGCCAGGTCAGTTCAATGACCATATCTCAAGACCGACACCCTTTTAACAAAAAGGGGAAGAAAAGAAATCCATGACTCGCCGGTTCATTGTTTTTTGGCGAGCAGAGAAATCCGCATCAGGAAAAGAAGGATCGTAGGTACAGGTGGCTGACGAAAATAGTGGAACCACATGGAGAGAAAATTGAAACCACTGAACATAGAAACAGTAGAGGACATACCATTTACTTTAAAAAAAAGTAGAGGACATACCAATGGGCTTAGCCCAGTTGGTACACCCATACCACTGAACTAGAAACAGTAGACGACATACCGATCGGCTTATAGCCCAGTTGGTACACCCATTAATTGTTGATACAGACTCGAGTTTCGAATCCAAAAAAGAAAAAAACAGCAGCAGTAGAGGACAGTGCAGCCCTGGGACACGCACAGTTCCACTGTCCGCAGGATAAGATAGAAGAGCAACACCTGTCTCACTGTGCGGCCATCTCGTTGTTTTTTAGCGAGCAGGAAATCCGCATCTGTTAAAGGACATGATATAATGCGAAAAAAAGGAAAGCCAATATATTGGAGCCAGGGACTCCAAGCGCGGAAAAGGGACAGGGACTCCAAGCACAGAAAAGGTAGGGGGGAAAAAAAAATAAAAAAAATTGGAGGTTTGGTGCTAAAATGCTCCAAATACATTGGCTTTCCTTTTTTGAAATTTTTTCGCATTATATCGAAGTTCCTTTGCAGTGTTCACACACTCTTGGAGTCCCTGACTCCAAACATATTGCTGTCCTTTTCTTCGCATTTTAGCACCTTCCTGACTCATCTTTACGCCACAAATGTCGGTCGAGGCAAGTCAAGGTGGGTAGAATGCATTAAACCACCAGTACATCTGAGGCAAAAAAAAATCACGAGCCTTGAACCCCCCTGCGCGCCAAGCTTTCGGAAACGCCAACGCGACATTTTTGTTTCCTTGTGGCTGGCGCCGCCAGCCATTTTGGTCCAGTAGCGCTGCTCTTCCAAACTTTTCGGTCGCGACAAGTCAAGGTGGGTAGACTGCATTAAACCACCAGTACATCCGCGGCAAAATTCACGAGCCTCGAAGCCCCCCTGCGCGCCAAGCTTTGCGGAAACACCAGCGCGACATGTTTGCTTCCTTTTGGCTGGTCCAGTAGCACTGCTCATCCAAACGTTTTGGATTGATCAATTGTGATTCTCAAGTTGGCGCGGGCCATGCACTGATGGTTTAAACAACAAGTACTTGGCTCAGCTGTAATGACCCGCCAAAAACACAGACTGAGAACACTGCTGATTTCTGGGATTTGCCGCTGGAATGAATGCCTTGCTGAGATTCCCGCATTCTGGTGTGGTTTCCAAGTCTGTGTGTGTGTGCGTGCCTGCTGGTTTGCATGCCTGTCTGAGTGCTTGTCGGCTGAGTGTGTGTGTGACCCGCAAGGGTACTTGTTGGTTGAAAGGCCCTGCAGGGCCGGTACTTACCTGTGGCCGTGACTTTGAGGGTTGCAGCGGAGAAAACACTCAAGTAGCGGGGGTAGGTCCGCGAGCAGCGGGGAAAAACACTCAAGTAGCAGGTAGGCCGGTACCACTCAAGTAGTGGTAGGAGTGTCGGATACTGGAGGCCGAGAAGAAGAACACAAAACGTTGGCATTTTTAGAGGCGCAGTAGCGGTAGGATAGAGGTAGGCCGGTACCAGTCCAAGTAGCCTGAGTCTAGGGCCTGTCCGGATGATAGCAGAGCCTGCAATGATGTTTCCCTCCGAAATCGGCCGCGGGGAAAAAATAGAGTAGAAACGTTTCTAGTCGGATCAATTTGGGCACTCCTGTAGGGACCAGTACATTTCCTAAATCGTGGCACGTTAACAGGCACGACTCTAGAATGTACTGGCGGTTTAAACCACCAGTTCACACAAACCTAAGCAGTGCTCTTATTGGCATACGAGGCAAGAGCGCTCGACTTCGGGCCCGGACCAGCAGCAAAAGCGGCAGGCAGGACACTTTGAAAAAAACGCGCACACAAAGGCCCCCGAGGCATGGAAGGCAGCTTTGTCAACTTAGGCCCACAGGCTTGCATGAAGGACGGGTGGGTTAAAATACAAACTTATTACAAAGCCAACATATATGGAGGCAAGGCCTGCGAGACTGTGCAAGGGAACACCGGGAACAGAGCGATTTCGCCTTGACTTCAGAAGAATGAGATGCCAAGCCATCCCTCTCACTCCTAAGAATCCACTCTGTTCAGATGTCATGAGACTTGATGAAAGGTTTCCCACCCACCACCTTTTTTCCTCCTGACACTGAACTCAGACTTACAACGTCTCCGGTCAGATAATCACATACGATCTGGCGGACGTAGACTGCCATTGTTTTCTCTCGAATACTTCCCTTACGAGATCTGAACCCGTGTTTTTTCTAAATTTTGTGAACCGCCCCCCCCACTTGTCACACGGGTACAGGGAAGTGATATCCTGCCAGCCTGCGGCTAATGCAACCATGCCTGCCTGTGGAGCAGAAAACAGAAAGAAAAAATAAATACTGGAAACTGACTTGTCGGTGGAAAAGGAACCAGACTGCTGCTCCGCAGAATAGAAGGAGCCTAGTCTTTATTGAAAAAAAAAAAAAAAAGGAAACTGAAAAAGATAACAAAAAGACTTCAACAAAGAGAGGCACAAAAGAGGTTGCACCAAAAGAGCAACAGGATAAGAAAGACGATAGAGAGATGTCACATTCAAATCATGTCGACACACCCTTCTCCCACTTCAATACAGGCCAAAAATGGGTTATTGTCTGTGCAAACTAGGGGGGGCAGAGGGGGGGGCAGGGGGG